GGGACGGGGTGGAATGGGTCATTGGGGAGAAAAAGGGACATCTGTAATATTTTAAACAAAAATTAAAAAAAAAAAAAGCCATCTAGCTTTCGGTTGGTGTGGCTCCGCTGGTTGAGGGTTGTCCTGTGTAACAAAAGGTCACTGGTCTGATTCCCAGCCAGGGCACGTGCCCAGGTTGCGGGCTCCGTATGGGAGGCACCCGATCAATGTTTCTCTCTCACATAAATGTTCTTCTCTTACTCTCTCCCTCTCTCTGTAAAAAAGAAACAAAAGTGATCTAAAGCCAATGCTCCCACGCCAATAAGATTTCTTAAAGCTTGGCGGTAGCTACACAGGCGGTCGTTATATTATCATTTAATGTTTGAAATCTCACAGTGGGAGGAGGGGCGAGACCTGGAAAACAGAGGAAGAAGGGGAAATTGGAGGTTCAGGATGGCCCCCCTCTCCCCAAAGCAGCACCGTCCCAAAGAGCATTCAGAGTGAACGACACGGCCGCGCCCACCTAAGGCCTCACCCTGTGGATGGGCACTGCAGTCCTGGCAGGGGGAGGCTGTATTCGTTGCCCGGGGGGTGTCCTCGCCCGACCCTCCCCCTGCTCACCGCCTTCCTCCTGCAGTGTCTGCAGGGGGACTCGGACATCAAGACGCTCCGGCCCTTTGCAGCCGTGATGACCACTCTCCGTGAGTGTGAGGACCGCGCCAGCAAGACCTTCTCCCGGTGAGCTCTGCTGCTGGGGCTCCACAGGGGCGAGAAGTCGGGACCTCTGGGGTTTCTGGCGTCCCCCCACCTGCTTCTGCACCGGCACTGACTGCCGTCCTTGGGTCCCAGGTTCGGGGTCCAGCCGTGCCCCGTCTGCCTGGGAGACGTGCGCAGCCCCGTCTGCCTGCCCTGCGACCACGTGTTCTGCCTGGACTGCGCCAAACGCTGCCTCACCGTGGGGCAGATGAACTGCCCCCTGTGTTTAACCGAGCTGCCCGACGGCTTCTCTCTGGAGGTTTCCCAAGAGAAGAGGTAAAACCCTCTTTTCTCTCCGGGAAGCTTTTCCTTCCTTTTTTTCTAACACGGTATTCAGAAATTTAACGCTGCTGACCTTAGAAATCCCGACTGCGGGTCCCGGTCCCGGGAGAGACGCTGTGCCCTCCCCCCCGCC